AAAAAAAAAAAAAAAAAGGAATAAAAGAGAAAATATTCAAAACTAGGTAAGTAACTAAAGGATTTCAGAAGGCAAACAAAACCGGAAACTACAGAGGCCAAGGAGCTGGTGAATTTAACGCACGGGGCTCAAGGTGGGGGCTCCACGGTGAGCAGCCGCCGCTCCTGTCCTACCTCCTTTGCCACCGCGGAGCCTGGGTTCCAGACTATAGACGGCGCCATGCCGCACCCTGTCACTGGTGTCCGTGAGCGATCCGTCGCACTTCACAAAGAAGCATTCCACTGGAACATCCTAGAGACAAGTTTGGGGTTTTTAAATGCTGTTTACGAGACAAATACGAGTTTCCTGCAGGAAGGGGCCTGGCCCGTTATCTTTTCATTACTCCAGTTACACGCAGAGAGCGAGTGGTCAACGAGCATTTGCTGAACTGAAAGTCGAAACTACTGAAAGAAAAAAGTCATTTCGCACAATTTTTTCCTGACACCTCACCACGACACGTACGACAACTGTTTGTCTTTCGGGTGAAAATAAAAACCACTGCCTTCTTCTCTGGCAGGAAACCAGAGCCAAGGTAGGGAGCTGTATGGGGCTCAGACCCAGTAACTCTGCAAGTCCCATTCTGTCCTGACTTTTGTAAACGGGGAATGTCAAGCCGAACAGGTTTGGAAGTGACCATAAGTATTCTGGGCCAGCTGGCGGCGGTGATCTCTGCTCCTGTCCCCGACTCACAGCAGAAGCCGGCATAGCCCTAAGCCCGCTCCGTGTATTTCAAAAATTCTCAGAACAAGTGGTAGATAAAAAATATATAAACTGTTAAGTCTTTCTAACCAAGTCTGTGATGCCATAAAGTGAGACAACAGAGGAGTACCCTCCGAAGTACACAATTAAATGTGTAACATCAAGTGCTAAGAGACCAAACCCCAACAAAAGGAAAAATGCATGACTAGTGGGGTGCCTGGGTGACTCCGTCCATTGAGTGTCGGACTCTTGATTTCGGCTCAGGTCAGGATCTCATGGTCGTAAGATCAAGTACCGTGTTGAGCTCCTCGCTGAGTGTGGGGCCTGCTTGGGATTCTCTCTCCCCCTCCCTCTGCCCCTTCCCAGCTTGCACATACAAGCTCTAAGAATTTTTTTTTTAATGCACGATTGGAATCTTCCTAAAATAGACACAACGAACACTCACTCTGAACCACACCACACAGCTATTTCAACAGGAACTACCTGTTCATTCAACAAATATGAAGTCCCTACTGTTTGCCAGATACTTTCTAAGCGCTGGGATGCTGTAGTGAATAATACAGTGAACACAGACCCTCCCTCACGGAGCTTACACTCCAGTGGGGAAACCCAGATGATGAACACACGAAGTACATACTATGTCAAATGGCGATGAGCAGAGTGAAGGGGCAGCATACACAGACGGGCATGGTGGTAATACGTTTTACATACAGGTGGTCAAGAGGAGCCTCTCGGGCCAAGTGACATTTGAGCAGAGAATTAAGCAAAGGGAGAGAGCAGGCCACGTGGGGGACAGCACTCCAGAGAGCCCAAATGCAAAGGCGGGCAGGAGGGATAAGCCTAGATACGCATGGAACAGCAACCCCACCGATGTGGCTGGAAGAAATCTACAAAAGGGGAAGGAGAAGGCCTTAGAAGCCACTGTAAGGACTTTGGTTTTACTCTGAGTGAAGCCACTGCAGGGTTTTGAACAAATTGAGAGCTGAGTTATAGTCTTTAAGGATCACTCTATGGGGCGCCTGGGTGGCTCAGTCAGTTAAGCATCCGACTTCGGCTCAGGTCATGATCTTGAGATTCATGGGTTCGAGTCCCGTGTTGGGCTCTGTGCTGACAGCTCGGAGCCTGGAGCCTGCTTCGGATTCTGTGTCTCCCTCTCTCTCTCTGCCCCTCCCCTGCTCACGCTCTGTCTCTCTCTGTCTCAAAAATAAATAACACATTAAAACAATTTAAAAAAAAAAGGATCGGGGCGCCTGGGTGGCGCAGTCGGTTAAGCGTCCGACTTCAGCCAGGTCAAGATCTCGCGGTCCGTGAGTTCAAGCCCCACATCAGGCTCTGGGCTGATGGCTCGGAGCCTGGAGCCTGTTTCCGATTCTGTGTCTCCCTCTCTCTCTGCCCCTCCCCCGTTCATGCTCTGTCTCTCTCTGTCCCAAAAATAAATAAAAGACGTTGAAAAAATAAATAAATAAATTAATTAAAAAAAAAAAAAAAAAAAGGATCACTCAAGCTGGTGAACTGGAAATGAGACTACAGAAGCAGAGACGTCATATCATGACAATCCAGGTGAGACGCAAGGGCCATCTGCACCAGGGGTGGTAGACGAAAGGTGATGAGGACCGTGAGGGGCCCTAGTGCCCTGAGTGAGGGCAGTGAGATCAACAGAGGAATACAGAGGAGCCCAAAAATCTGGTCTAAGGGGAAGAGTGAGACGGCACGTATTTGGGGAGAGTACTGGTCTCATGCTGGGTGTGCTTCTTTGAGAGGCCTAATAGCCATGCGAGATGTGGGGTAACCCGGTGGGGACACAAGTCTGGAGTCTGGGGCAGAGGGCTGGGCTGGAGCCTTACATCTGGGAGACGTCAACACACCGATGGTACTTACCGCCCTGAGAATGGACGAAGTTGCCCACGTGGGGGAGGAGGAAGCGTCAGAACAAGGATCAGAAAACTTGGCCCGGCCACTCTAAGGTTTAGAGACCAGGGAGATAAGGAGGAAGTGGCAAGAGACACTGGAAGGGAGGCTAGTGAGGTGGAAGAGAATGAGGGTGACGTCTGGACCGGTAAGCAAAGCATGCCAAGGAGGGAACGGTTGCCTGTGCCCACGGATGCTGAGAGGCCACGAGAGAGGAAGACTGGAAACTGATCACCAGATACGGCAACGCATAAGACCCTGACCCGCGAGGCGCAAGTTGGTCTGCTGGAGTGATGGGCACGGAAGCCCAACTGGAGGACGTACCGAAGGAGAGAGGTTTACGTTCAAGGGTATTTTCTATAAAGAAAACCAGGGAAGATGAGGGGACAGCTGGAAGGGATGTGGGCTCAAGTATGCGCACTGGGAGGACTGATCCAGGAAAAAGGGAAAACACTGGGAAATGCAGGGGAGAACTAACGCTAAGTAAGCCATTCAGTAGGGAAGACGGGACAGGACACTGGGCAAAGCGAGGGTAATTACAATTTTTTTTTTAATTTTTAATGTTTACTCATTTATTTTCGAGAGAGAGAGAACACAAGCGGGGCACGGGCAGAGAGAGAGAGGGAGACACAGAATCCAAAACAGGCTCCAGGCTCCGAGCTATCAGCACAGAGACTACGTGGGGTTTGAACCCACAAACCGTGAGATCATGACCTGAGCCGAAGTTGGATGCTTAGCCGACTGGGCCACCCAGGTGCCCCCAAAATTCTAAATAACTTTAAAAGACATTCATGCGAAAGCAGAAAAATTATATACACCACACTCCATTTCCAAACAAGAACTGCTTGTTAATACGACTGATCAACAAAATTGCATTTTCTACTTGTCACATTCTTGTCAACAATCACCAGTAGAAACCAAGAGTAAAGGAAATTTAGAATCAATTCAAGCGCCTTTAACCTTTGCACATTATCAAGTTTTTCGAACACAAAGCCTGAGGCTACCAGAGACAGACCAGTAGTTCAACAAAGCCAAGTTTACTGACTCACTGGGGGGGGGGGGGGGGGGGGGGGGGGTGGAGGGGTGGATTGCACTCGCAGGGGTGTCTCACCACCACCACCAAAAAATAATTGTTGCAGGATTTGGCGCAAGGGTGGAATTTGGGTGAAATTTAAATGAAAGTGTTTCGAGAGACTCAAAATGAGCTGAGCTGTGTCTAAAAGGGGCAACATCAGGTCCAGACTACGAAGTAGATTAGATCCAGGCTCCTGTCTCCTTGGAAACCACAAAGTTAAGATAAACGTGGAATGTCGTGTTCAGAACTCCGAATCTGAAGTTCTGCGCCCGGGCTGGAAATCCAGAGAGAGTGCTTCTCTGGATCAAAGGGACTTAGAATCTCCAGGCAAGAGTGGGATGCTTCATTCTTACTGATAACGTTTCAAACAGGAAAGTGTCTCGTAGTCTGTAATTTTCTAGATCGAGGCTTCTCGGTGAATCAGAAAGCAGGAGACTGCCGAGGGAGTCAGGATGACATTTCACAACCGCACCAGGTCCCCGGGAGAAATAAATTTCCTATTAATTCTGCAGCCGGCTTCATCTGTGCTATCCTAGGCTGCAGACCAGCCAACAGATTTTTACTCTCTCGGTGGGAACTAACACTGACTTCATCCTGCGTCCCAATAATTTGGCTTTAAAAAGCACAGATGTGGGGCACCCGGGGGGCTCAGGTCACGATCTCGCAGTTCCTGAGTTTGAGCCCCCGCATCAGGCTGTGTGCTGTCAGCTGGGAGCCTGGAGCTGCTTCCTATTCTGTGTCTCCCTGTGTCTCTGCCCCTCCCCTGCTCATGCTCTGTCTCACTCCGTCTCTCAAAGATAAATAAATGTTTAAAAAAAATTTTTTTTAATAAGTAAATAAATAAAAATAAAAAGCACAGACGTGAACTTGAGCTATTTTTATTCGTTCCAGTATCTCATCAAATGCCCTTTTATAAGTTTCTTGTTTCTGTTCACACATGCCACGGTTAGATTTCTTGAGCACCCGACTGAATCCTTCATTTATATTTCTCCCCTCTTACTTAGAATTATTTTTTCCAATACTTCTCATGATTAAGATCCTATTCTTTCTGGTCATTTTGGATCAACTGCCATGAGATAAGAAATATTTTCACGGGGCGCCTGGGTGGCGCAGTCGGTTAAGCGTCCGACTTCAGCCAGGTCACGATCTCGCGGTCCGTGAGTTCGAGCCCCGCGTCGGGCTCTGGGCTGATGGCTCAGAGCCTGGAGCCTGTTTCCGATTCTGTGTCTCCCTCTCTCTCTGCCCCTCCCCTGTTCATGCTCTGTCTCTCTCTGTCCCAAAAATAAATAAACGTTGAAAAAAAAAATTAAAAAAAAAAATATTTTCAGAGTTATTAAAATCCCATGTATTTCGTACTACATTCATGAAATAAGATTTTCAGAGATATTAAAATCACTAAACTAATATTTCACTTATTCATGAAATAAGATTTTCAGAGATACTAAAACCTATTTTGTAAAACAGTTCCCCACCTGGATGGCCAAACACACCTCTGACAGCTTTCACACTGGACTGCAGTGTAGAAAAACAAATGGGGAAGCTGAAAAACCACATTATTTGGAAAGACGTGTTGCTTCCTCATGGAACCGGTCCAAATACAAATTCGGTTTAGACTGCAGTGTTAACATGTGTTAAGCCCGTAAGTAACAAAGCAGAAGAAACAGCCTAGGAAAAGAGGGACTTTGTGAAGTTATAAAGAAAAACAGACGACTCCATCAAGTGCCAAAATTAAAATTAGATTCAGGGAGACCACTGAAGAATCAAACAGGTTCAAGGTTTACCAGTTTACGGCTGGTAAAAGCTGCTTGCTTGACTATTAAGTAAACCGCACACAGAACTTCACAAGTCCGTGACAGGTGTTCAAAAATAATGCACGGACAAATGTGACCGCCAAATGAAGAGATCTAAACGACAGACCGCACGAACCCACGCCCTCACCAGGACACGAGTGGGAGGGCTGGGCCTCGACCAGCGACCTTAACAACCCACTTCCCGTCTCCCTCCGCCACCATCCTGTGGCCCGGGTTTGGACAGGGAACTCTGTCCCGGGTTGGAGCTAACCGGGCTGGGTGATCAGGGGACAAAACGCATAGAGTGCATGCAGGGGAAATGTAAGGAAATGAGCCTCAGAAGCCAGCGGGTCCCACGGCCTCCTGAACGCACGGAGGAACAATGCCCCGGGGCGCTGAGAGTCCAGACCGAGGGCTGGACTGAGCGCCTGAGAGCGGAGTGGCTGCTCCCCGCTCTGGAGGGAGACAGAACCGCCACCACCCCAACACAAAAGCAAAACAAGGCCTCAGCAGCAGCTCGAAGCACCTTCACACTGGGGGGCCTTCAGCCCCAGAAACACAACCCCAGGGAAGAGACGCGCCCCCGCCAGACCCTGGTCACCCAGCCCTGCCCTCCCCGCCCCGCTCCGCCCGCCGCTGTCTCCCTCCTCCCGAGGAGCGCGAACCCCACCTGATCCTGGCAGTGTCGGCGGATCACATCGCGTACGGAGCACGAGGCCGAGGCACAGCGCACCGCCTGGCACCCGAGGCCGGGGCCGCGAACCCACACCAGCGCCGCAGCCTCCGCCATCTCAGCGAGCGACTGCCGGGGGAGAAGGAGCCACGACTCGCCGGCGCGCCTCGATGGCGTCACGGGGCCTTCAGCGCCCCGCCCCCACAGCGGCCGCTCGCCCCGCCCCTCCCCTGGGGCCAGTCACGTGGGCCGGGCCCCAGCGCCGCGCCGCGCCGGCGGGGGAGGGGAACGGG